AATTCTTGAGATGATGAAGGACCATGGTTTAAGGTTTTTTCTCCATAGTATAGAGGTGTTAGACAAGGAAAAAATAGAGAAGACGATGTGTCTGGTGAAAAGACTTTTTTGGGATGGACTCCTTTGCATGCCCTAGACAAAGGGCCAAGTCTCGCAACTCTGGAGTAGATTCCCTTGCAGGATTCGAGAGAGAGCACAATCTCATACCATTTTTATTTTTTGTTTTGTTTTATTTATTTTTCTTCTCCCTCTTTCTTACATCCAATAATATTGGAGTGTCAAAAGCGTCATTTATCACAACGCCACAAGAGACTACCTTTGAATTTGAGGATATGCTACCATAGATCATGGTGATTGCAAATCAACAAATGAAAGAGAGTATAAATCATGCTATGGAAGATTTTTGAGTTAGGTATTCAACGTAGTACAATATCAATCACCAAGAAGGGGGTGCTTAATGCCTAGTAGATTTTTTTTTTGAAAGACATCTAGAAATTTTATTGATCAAGAGAAAGAAATCACATTATAGGAAATAGTAAGAGATGCCAGAGAGACACCACCCTTAGCTAAGGCATCAACAATACCATTAGCTTCTCTCCAAACATGGGTGAAAGAAACAGAGATCAAAGAGGTAACATCTAAAATCTTCAACCATAAGGAACGAAATTCCCATGGGATCCGCTGTTCCTTTCAACACCACTGGATCACGTTTAGGGAGTCTCCTTCAACCAAACACGTGGAGCCCAAATTCTGCGTAATAAAAATCTCCATCCCCTTCAACACAACATATATTTCCGCTAAGTTAGCAGTTGCCACACCAATAGGACCCGCCATAGGACAGAAGGATATTACAAGAGGAATCTCGAAAGACCCCACCAAACCCAGCAGGGCTTAGGTTTCCAAAGGAACTCCCATCCAAATTCGGCTTAATACAGCCCAAAGGTGGATGAGCCCATAGACCTTTCGACTTACATCTGTGTATACCAAGGGAAAACAAATTGGGGAGATTCACTATGACATCAACATTAGAGATACCTCAACCTTCCTTAGTCATTGAAAGACCTGACCAAATAGACAATTTAATTAGGTGGATCAGTTTGTCAAAAGGCAAAGCAACCCCTTTCAAAAGTTCTCATATTTCGTTCCTTCCATACCTCCCATAGGGTCATTCCTTTAGCTATTTTCCAAAGCATACTACCCACTTTAGGCAAGAATGAAGGAGAGAATTGATGGACAAGGTTAAATACATTTTGTGGAAGAACAAAAGAAACACCAACCAAGCCCAGTAACCAGTGCCATAGTCTAGAAGTGAAGGGGCAATGGAGCAATAAATGGTTAACCGACTCCCCATGTTGCTTACAAAGTAAGCAAATATTTGGCAGAATTTTTCCCCTCTTGAGGAGATTATCAACAGTTAAGATTTTATTTTGGGATGCCAACCAAACAAAAACTTGGACTTTATGTGGAATCAGTCATTTTCATACTTGGATAATAAAAGGAGAAGACCCATCTCCTCCGGTCATGGAAGAACAATTTGTAACAAAATTTTATTGAAAAAACACCATCATTTTTAATTTTCCAAACGAACATATCCTCAACATCTTTTGCAACATAGACTTTATCCAGCAATTCCAACAATGCACACCATTGTGATAATATTACATTATTCAGCCGTCTGTAAATAAGATGTAAATTCCTAGAATTCCTATGGCCTATCCTCTCAACTGCATCATAAATTAAAATATCTTGGTTTGACACCACCCGGAACAGGTCAGGGAACGTCACTTTAAGAGGACAATCCCCTAACCATTTGTGAGGCCAAAATATAGTCTGTCTTCCACTACCAATCTTCCACCTAAAATAATTAGAGATCATAGGTCTGTAATTAAAAATAGCTCTCCACACATAAGAAATTTTGCTATTTGTTCCACCACTAGGCCAAACACCATAGCCCTCCGACCCATATTTGGCCACCAAAGTTTGACACCACAGGTGATCCTTTAGCTGAAAGCTTCTCCACCACCATTTACACAAGAGGACAAGATTGAAGTTTCTCAAACTACGGATTCCAAAACCTCCTTCACGCTTGGGTGTACACACTCTATCCCAATTAAAAAGATGGAACTTTCTGTTTCCTTCATGAGATCCCCATAAAAAATCTCTCATCATTCTCTCAATCTTTTTAGCAACCAAGGGTGGAATTTCAACAACAGACATATGGTATATAGGAAGATTGGCTAGGGATGATCTTAGTAAAGTGACCCTACCCCCCAAGGATAGGTAATTATACTTCCACAGATCAAGTTTAAGTTGCACCCTCTCTATCACCTTATCCCAAACAACAATAGGGAATTTTGAATCCGAAATTGGTAACCCCAGTTAAGTAATGAGAAAGGATTCAACTTTGCATCCCATCACTAAAGCCAAATTCTGAACTAACGTCCCAAAACACTTAATTCCTACCAGAGAAGATTTATGAAAGTTCACCTTGATCCCCAACACAACTTCACATATTTCTAGAAATCTTGCGACCTTTCGTAACTGTTCTTCATCCGCATCACAGAAGATAATAGTATCGTCCGCATATTATAAATGTGAAACAATAACATTAGAATTCGCAATTTGAAAGCCCCTAAAATTGCCCAAATTTTCAACCCTGGTCAGCATGAGGCTGAAGCATTCAGCATAGATGGTGAATAAGAAATAAGAGAGAGGGTCGCCTTGCCAAAGGCCTCTAGAAGCATTTAAAAAACCAACAGGACTGCCCTTAAAAAGCACAGAGAAATGAGCCGTAGAGAGGCAGCCAAATATCATACTAAGAATCAAACGAGCTCCAAGATCAAGTTTGAGGACTGGTCCCATACACAACAAGCAAATTTTAATGCAAGAACAATGATATGTGAGTGCTTGCTTAATTATTTAATTATTATCTATTTAAAAATCTTATGAGAAGGATGGGTTGAATAATCTTGAGGTCAAGTTTCTCTCAACCCAAAGATAATGATGTAGTTAGGGTTTTATTTATTTCCATTGTTTTGGAATATTGAAATTAGGTTTAGATTTTTATTACATTTTGCAATATCTCAAAAAATAAAGGCAATGATCCCCTTCCATACTGTCGATTGCTTTGAACATGAGGTTAAACTTTGAATAAAAAAGCCTCCTTAATTCTCTCCATATATTTATTGACAATACCCTTCCATAAGTGGTTTAGCTCCAAAGACATCGCCACCACCATTTTGTTAATAACACCTCGTTCGTCAGTTTAAAGCACGTAGTGCCTAAAATACCTAGTCCCTCTGGGCCACACACTATATCCCAATTAACCAAATCATACTTACTTTTTTCTTCATAGACTCCTATAGGATTCTTCTCATCATAATATAAACACTAATTATTTGCATACAGGCCATGAACAAGAGCATGTAATGTCCAGGTGAATTGGATCATGTGGACTTTTATCAATGTATTCTTGCTTCAATGAGAGATGTCTTACGCTTAAGCTTCCTTTGAAATTTTTTGACAACCGGTTCCCATGTTGACATTGGAAGCCTACTTGGTTCTAAAGGGACGCCAAGTTATCTTCCTGGGAGGTAGTCCACTCCACAACAAACCAATTTGCCAAAAGAGTCACTTCCTCCTTGTCACAAGCAATGCCAATAAGCTGTAATTTTCCAAATAGATCCCAAGTCCTACATTCACCTCAAAATATCGTTAAAGAAACCACAAGTTTATTTAATAGAAAAAGTTTATATAAGGTTGCAACACTTTTTTTGATCTTTTATATATAAGTTTTCAACCTTAAAATGTAGAATTAAGGTGCACCTCAAAAATCCATTATAAATAGTTGTTTTGATGTTGGAAAACCATGTCATTGATCATCTCGACATCAAGAGATATGAATATGAAAAAAATAAAGATTTTGAGACCTAAAAATTGTGTATCTTGCAACACATTATCTAGACCATCCATTTTCAAGATTTTCCAAGGTTTATAGATCTACTTGATTTGAACAATTTTTGAAGTTTACAATTAGAGATGAAGATAGTTTTTCAAGCCATCCTAAGAATTTTTGACACTAAAATTATATTTATGATAAAATTTAAAGGTGCATCTTAATTAAATTGTTTAAAGTTGCAACCTTATGCCTTTATTTTATTATCAAAAGATAATGGCAAGTTTATTTTTGGCTCGTTGCAAAGCAACTAAGAAGGCCCTTCATTTACCATATGCCACCAAGGTGAAAAGGACATGGAGGAGAAGGGGTCCCTCGTCTGATACCCTTCCGATGAGTCGAAGAAATTCCATTAACGAGAATAGGAAAATAGATGAAAGAAAGGCAATCATCATCCATTGTCCCATCATGCATCAAACCGTGTACGACTCTTTAATTTTCAATAAACTCCCCTTCCCCAATCAACTTTATCAAAGCTTTTTCAAAATCAAAATTTACTCGTTATAGAATTTGTTTTTGTAATATGCTTGGGGTGACATACTCTAAGCAGTGCGCATAACGGATAAGACTTTGACAAAGAATATGAGGGGCTCAAGAAAACCCAAAAATGGCGGTCATCAATGAAATTCTTGAAAGAAAAGACGAATAAGATTTCACAATACTTTGAATGTACCCTGTGGAATGTCCCAATACATTGTGGACAGTAAAAATTCTTTCTTTTGCACACGGATTCTTGTGCCTTTCATACATCAAAGTCTGTACTCCACCATCCATAACTCTGATTAAGATAATGACTTTGGTTACGTTAATTAAAAATACTTTAGTCAAGAACAACAGACGGTCTCCATCAAAGCCCTCCACGGCACTGTTTTCCAAAAAAATGCAAGTTAAACCCGGGTTTTTCCATTTGGATTGATTGATATTGGTGGGAGCTCGACGGCTTCAAGTTTTGAATCAATAAGGGCCACGTAATTAATTTAATCTTTAATAAAACTAACTAATCCAATTTTTAATAAAACTGATCGGTTCTATAAAAAAAATACACGTCTCCACCTCACCAATCCAACCTTTGGGTAGCTTAAATCAGACCGGGAGCATTTAAATTACAAGACGCATCAAGAATCAGGAATACGCGTCCACCCCACGTGACAAGCACATTGGCAGGTGTTACCCTTCTTTTTCTCGCGATTTTTATTTGCCGTATTATTGCTATATATAACCCACAGTAGTACATACTTCATTGAAAGGAAACAGGTGATATTCTATATTTTCCATGGCTTCTTTCTCTAAAAATCCATACCTTCAAACTTCTGGCCCTAGGGATCCTGGCAAAGAAGCGCATGAACCAGGTGATCCTTATTATTTTCTTTTTCTTTCTTATATAGAATTACCATTTACTAAGTGTTACAATCTCTGTTGTGTTCTTTTTTGGAAATTGGTTTATTCATCTTCTTCCTTTTTTTTTTTTTAAAGAGGAAATGAGTGCTCTGCAAAAGCATGTCGGCTTCTTCGACAGGAATAACGATGGCATCGTTTATCCATGGGAGACTTTAAAAGGTTCAATTATTATAATAGTGAGATCTATTACATATAAATAATTCCATAACATATGTTTTATTAGGAGTAAATAAATTTTTTTTTGTTGGTATTTCCTGTTTATTGGTTGCTGTAGGGTTTCGTGCGATCGGGGCTGGCCTGCTTCTGTCTTCAGTGAGCGCTTTATTCATCAATGGTGGTCTCAGTTACAAAACCCTTCCTGTAACTCTCTCTCTCTCTCTGTCCTTTTGGGTAATTAGGGTTCCCCTCTCTCTCTTTCTCTCTTCTCCCCAATCTTTTGAGTAAGTTCTCTCTCTCTTCCTCTCTCACACCACCTTCTTCGGAATTTTCATTTTTATATCCATTTCTTCAGATAATGGATTGGATTTCTGTTTCTTTTCTGGGAGATTTTCATCAATGATTGAAATTTTGGTTATATTTGGACTTCTTGTTTGAAAATGATGAAATTCGGAATAGAGAGAATGTGAATAATGAGTGAGTATTTCTTTTCTTTGGAAATTAGGGAAAAATTCCATCTCCTCTGCTTCCAATCTACATCAAGAACATACACAAGGGCAAGCATCCGAGCGACTCTGGTGTCTACGATAAAGAGGGAAGGTCAGTTTATAACCGTTGATTTCAGGTCCCTTCCTCTTTATGGCCGTTGATTGGATCTTTCCTTTCGTTTTTGAGTTTTGACGTTCACATTGACGCCTATTGTTTGTTTAATGAGAAGATTCGTGGAGTCAAAATTCGAGGAAATTTTCAGAAAATATGCCTTGACGCACCCTGACGCCTTGACATACGACGAGCTCGGAGCCATGCTCAAGGGAAACCGCGAACCCAACGATACTGCTGGATGGTAGTGTTCCTCCTCTCTTTTTTTTTTTTTTTTTGTCCATTTGGGATTAACTCATCTCGAAAATTACAACTCAACCATTGGAAAAAGTTTATATGATCATCTCGACGTGAATATTTTTAGTTATAAAAACAATTAAGATTCCAAGCTCTAAAAATAGTGTACACTATATCAACTATGCATTTCACTTTAAAAATAAGATTTCACAGTTCCACAAGGTAAGTATCATTTTTCAAATTTCATGTATCATTCTCGGTGTTGAAAATTGATTTTAGAGTGATCATGGAGATTTATGTTCTCGAAAGTACTTTCCAGACAATGATTTAAGATGAGGTTTTGTTTTGTTTTAAAAAATCCTTGTCCTTATGGAAACTTCATCTTTTTTTTTTTTCGATGTTTTTGTTTCCATGAGTGTGCCAAACGTAGAGAATGGGAATTGAGCTTGAGTGGTTAGTAGTTGATGTTATCAATTTATATCTCAAGTTCCATTCCTACCGGAAAAAACTATCTACAAAAAAAAAAAGTATAATAACAAGTTCGATTCCTACCACTGATCTCCCCAAAAAAAAATTTATACGACTTTGTAGAAGGTGTATATTGTGCAGACATTGAGCACATCACTCTTTTTTATTTCAATTTTTTTGTATTATGGAATTTAAAGGGATGATATTTTCTTATAAAACCATTTAAGGGATGATATTTTCACACCGTAGGGCTGGGACCCTTAACAACCATAGGCATTTTTGTTTTGTAATGTGCCCTACTTAAGTTGTCTAGCCAAATTAACCATATCCGTTTTATTGGGAAAATCGAACCGAGTCATGAGTATTTTTGTTATTTGGCATTGTCACGTTTCAATTTTGAATAATCCCATGTATTTTTATGTTGGTTGATGCCATTTAAGTGGTTATCAAAATGCCCATATTGTTCAGGTTCTTCTCAGGATTTGACCCTAACTTGAGAATTTTGCGCAAAATATTCTTTAGAAGGCACAGCCAGCCTTGGTAAAAAGTATTTTCCTTGCATAATAATGATTTTGTAACATAATTCTTAGCTCTTTAACGATATGTTTATGAAAAATTAATTTATGTATCATGGGTCTCCATCCTACAATCCTAGGACCAATGTCCATCAAAATGATGGACATTGGGACCCCCCTTGAGATAGATGTCACCCCTTGGGTGGTTCTCTTTCTCATCATCCCCACCATTAAAGGAATCAGTAAGGACCGAATGACTATGGTTTTGACTTTTAGACCTCAAGAATATCATGTATTTTTTAATAATTGATACTTACCATGCATGGGTTGTAACGTATGAGACTAGCTTTGTTACAAGCAAAAAATACTAATGGCTATTCAATTTTAAATTAGTTTGCATAAAATTTGAAGAAGCTGTTTTTTTGAACTTTAGACCTAGTAAATAGATGTACCAAATAAATCGTTTACATTTTCTATATGTTACAACTTAAATGTAGCAATCTTATGTTTTTCATGTCTCTTTTTTATTTATTGGGAATTAAAAACCTTCTAAATCCCGATTGGGAAGTAGAAATCCTATCCCCAGGATTTTCAAAACTCAAGATTTGCTTTCTTTCAATGTTTAGAACTCATCAAATTGGAAGTTGAATATTTAAGATTCTTGATTTTTGCCGCCCTCACAAAAAATACAAGAAAACAATGCTTATTAGGATTTCGATTTTGCAGGATTGCTGCCCAAACCGAATGGAAAACATTGTATAACTTGTGCAAGGATGAGAGGGGTCTTCTTCCTAAAGAAACCATAAGAAGTGTTTATGATGGCGGCCTTTTCCATCGCATGGAGAAGCAGAGAGCATCCAAAGTTAAAAAATGAAAAAAGAAACAAAGAGAAACTTTTTTAAGGAACCTGCTTCTTGCTTCATTACGCTTCTTATTTATTGTTTCTTGACGTTGCCGTTTCTCCACTACACGTTTATACGATTCCATTCCATATTCGTTGCTTGTTAAGTTGTTCATGTGTTGGCATGGAATGTATGTGATTTGATGCAAAGTCAGTGTGGATTTCTATAATTTATGGAATTATTTTGATTTGTAAAGATCTACATTTTACGTTTTTTATTTTAGGTGGCGTTTGTATAGAGCTGAGGCTCTAAATGATCACAATAAAATGCACCTTCAAATAGTCTCGAGAAATATGGTTTCAATACTAAAAATCTTTGTGATAGCTTTAAAATATATTTTTATTTTTAATTATAGAATTTAAATCTTAAAAAATAGTATAGATGGAGTAAATCTATGAAAACTTAAAGTTTGATGGTCAAAAAATGCATTACAAGATGTTCTATTTTCAAAACTTGAACTCATGTTTATGCATCTTGATGTAGGGATGATCAATTTGAAGATATTTGAGCATCAAAACAACATCTTCTAGTTAATAATGATTATGACATCATAGTACAAAAAGTAATTGGTCTTATTGTAGATATTTTCAATTTAAAATGATATATTTTAAATTTTAAATTTTATGTTTTTTTTTTTCAATCCATAATGATGGTTGTTGAGATTATCAACTTTAAAATTTGGAAAAGTACATAAAAAGATCATTTACTTTTAGTACAAGGAGATCATAATTATTTGTGCATTAGATTTTAAATCGGGTGGTTGTAAATGTATCATTCATTAGACTCAAAGCTCTATAAATTTTTGTTTTGAGCTTGGTGACATAACTTAATATATCAAATGTGATATCTAATGGATAAGAATGATTGTAGCATTCTTGTAAGGAAAAAGTTTATATAAGGTTGGAACCTTAAATGTAGAATTACATATGCACCTAAAAATACATCGGAAAAATTTGTTTTAATGTTGAAAAACTCTGTAATTGATCATCTTGACATCAAGATATATGAATGATAAGAAAAAAATATTTTGAGTCCTCTAAATAGTAGATCTTGTAACACATTATCTAGACCGTCCATTTTCAAGTTTTCCATATGTTTATAGATCTACTTGATTTTGACCATTTTTGAAGTTTAAAATTTTATAATTAGATATGAAAATATATTTTCAGATAATCCTAAGATTTTTTTACACCAAAATTACATGCTATGATAAAATTTGGTGGTGGGCCTTAATTGGATTGTTTAAGGTTGCAACCTTATAGAAACCACACCTTTTTAGTAAAAAAGGTAAACAATCTCATAATATACAATCCCTTAAAATTTTAGGCCCAGAATCCATCTCTAAGATGAAGATTTTAAGCTCAAGATCATCTTTAGGATGGAATTTGAAAGAGACTATATAAATATGAGCAAACACATGGTATTCCCGTCCTTCCATCTTTATTTATTAATGAAAATATCAGCATTTTTATTGTCACGAGTCACAGTTAAGTATCATACTTCAAATAAGAGCATCCTAAAGCTTTTGTTTTACAGAATAGCAGAATCAAGAATTGAGATCATCATAAATTCAGGATTCAGGCTTGGTTCAAGACAACAGAGGCTGGGTTTTCATAGCACAACGTCTCAGTTCCATTCTTATATAACCACGTCAAAAAAAATAAAAGAAAAAAAAAAAAAAATTAAAAGAGGTCATCATGAACTCGAGATGATCCAAGGCATCCTTGATCAAAAGACTAAGCCTTCTGTTAAGTGGTGGCAGTAATCCTTTACACTTGAAAGGAAAGAATACCCTTTTCCTTAATGGCCGACCAAGGGGGACACCAGACGTAAAAAGAGTGTCGACTGTGCTTCTTGGATAATCCTTGTTAAAGACAGGGACAAATACCTTATTGGTGGGGCTGATACCCATATATAATGGCTTTGGATGTTGTGGATATTAAATTTTATAAAATAAAAATAACAAAGAATAATTATATTTCGAAAATAGCATTTTAATGGGTAATATTGAAACGATAGCATATATAATATGATATTGACATATATAGTGGTTCTAGTATTTTTTATTTTATTGAAAATTCATTTTTTAAAATAATTAGTTATAGTAAACTACTAGTAATAATACATGCATTACAAGATACTCTAGTTGAGAAATTAAACATTTTTAGAAATACTTAATTTTTAAATAGAAAAATGATCAATCATTTTTATTTTGTTATTTATTTTTAAGCTATTATTAATCTTACCCTCTATATCTATTTCCTTTTACTATTTATGTTGGAATAGAAATCTAATTGTTTCTGCGAAAATTCTTATTCCCGCAGGAATTCCTGGTTTAACTTGAACATAGCTATGATTTTCTTATTTGGGTACGAATTCCCATATTTGTTTTTGGTACAAGGAAAGAGATTTCAGAAACTCCTCCTATAACTTAATGGAGCAACGAAATTCTTATTTTGATATTTTTTTTTTTATATTAATTTTTAGTAGGAATGCCTAGTTAACGAAAGAGATTTTAGGAAATTTAAAGGGAGAAGGGAGTTATGAAGAGAATTCACAATTCACACCCTAGTTTTTCTCCTTCAACAATAGACTTGCTAATGTCTCAATATTGCATAAAGATCTCATTGAATAAATTTATTTTTGTTATATTTTTATGACTTCACTTAGGGATGAACATGATTTGTGTTGCCGACTTCAAGTAGTTAAAAAAAACTTTGATGATGATGATAATGATGATATCCTTGTTATATTTTAATTTTGAAAATTTTTTATCTACAAATTTATTTTTCTTTTTATTTACAAATTTATTTTTCACTAATTCATGACAAAGTCGAATAGAAATTTGGATGTTCCACTGTTGTTACTAAAATTATCTTATTTATAATATTTCATATATGCCAAAAGTTTGGAATTTTAAGGTATGAATAATCTTTGCTTTGAAAATAATTATGGAAATTATGTAATTATCCGTTATAATTAGTCGTATTTAAAAAGGGAGGGCTTTTTATATGACCCCACCCACATATATAATATATGTGATCCCTGGCCTCAGCCATCAGATCTAAGTAGATGGTGGAGATGGCTTGAGTCACAATATCACAAGCTAGCACTTAACCGTCAGATCTTGATCAGACGGCTTATTTTTTGTTTTTATTCTATAAATAAGTTTGAAGCAAAATTTGGGGCATGCATAGATCTAATAAGGGCGCACATGATAAAAAAATTAAAAAAGTATTTCCCGTGATGAAAAATTACTAGAATACCCCTGATTATTTTAGGGGAAGTTTGGTCATTTATTTTTACATAAAATATTTTTGTTTTATTTTTTCCAAGTTCGCCTGTTTTTTTGATGGGATGTCCAAAATTTCATAAGAAAATGTTTTGTAGAGAAAAAATGAAAAATAAAAAAGAGTTTGCCATGACATTGTAGTGTGAATAATCGTAGCCGTTCGATTTAGATTGAACAGCTAAGAAGTGGGGTCGCATATAACTTATATGCTGTTAGGGTTACATAGAAACATTTTCCATTTAGAAATGTCCTCCCTTCTATGTTTTACGCTTTTCCTTCTATGTTTTACGCTTTTCATTTTTTTATTTTTCTCAAAACAACCATTGTTCAGAACTAATTGGTTTCAGACCGTGAACACGAACTCTAGTGTATGGTTTGGAACTAATAGTTTGAGAACATATTGATCTATGCTTCCATCTTTGTAAAGAATCAATGCGGCTTAGCAAAACTACTAGTTTCAGTCCACTTTGATAGCAAATTGGAACTAACAGCCTCAAAGTGATTGTCTGAAACTATTGTCAAAACTGATAATTTTGACCATTTTGAATCCTTACAATGAACCGTTTGAAACTAATAGTTTTGGACAACTTTGATTGCTAGCACTGAATATTTTCAAACTAAACTGCAAAACGCCAACCATTGAGCAGTCGTCTTTTGAGCAGCCACCACAGTTGAGTAGCAACCAGCAAAACCACTATTGAGCAGCCACCAGTAGTACCCACAGCGAGACCCGCCCACTTGCGGCCACCAATAGCCACCAGCAGCCATCAGCGAGCTACTACCAGGGGCCACTAGTGAGCTAGATTTAGCAGGTCTCCGAGCCCAGTCGTTAGGCCACATTTTGTGGCCCATGCTCTATTTTCTCAGGGCTAGGCTGAGTTGACCTGGCTGGGCCGTCTGGCCCATTGCCAGCCCTAAATTCTTGGTAACTTGACTTACTATTCCTTTCCGAGAAGCTCTAATACTCCACTTTGTAAAATGCATTGAAAGTTCATGTGCCCTTTTCGATCTAGTTAAGCTTGCCATCTTTCTTATGATGGGAGAGATCAACTCATATGCTCATCTCACCGATCTCCCTAACTAATGGGTACTTATAGTTGCCTTGGGCTTGTAGAATATTCCCCAAGGTAAAATACATATCGGAAGATACTTTCATTTCAAACTCTTCGAAACATATTTGATTCACCATATGTTCAATGTGGAGGAAAAGAGTGATAATGAGAATTTAAGAACTCAGATTTGATTGTCCATCATGTGTTCATTATCGAAGGGGGCATTCATTTGAGTCCTTTTCAGGGTTGAAGAAATAAAATCATATTTTTCATATGGTACTTGTGCGCTTCAAATACTTAACAATAGAAGATATTATCTCATGGTGTTCGTAGATAACCATGTCATTGTACATTTTTGAATCCAAACAGTGAATCTTTCAAAAATCCATTATAATTTCGCAAGGTCCTATTTCGCCAATTGATTAAGGGAACATTATGATGTTTAATTTAAGAAATCGAAAGACTAGCTTTCTAAAGTGACTAGTTTCTTTGTTTCTTTTTCTCTCTCTTTTTTCTTTCCCTATTATAGCTTGGGGTTTGATGAGAATGGACCTCTAGCCATCATGTTGTGGCACTTGCCAGCTTGAACACCTTTGCTTTGAGCCGGTTCTCAAGCGATTAGATATTTATTCATATGTATGGTGTTTACTTTCAAAATTCACTATATTCTTACAAAATTTTTTGATTGATTTATATGAAAAAACCAACATACAAGACCCTAAATTTTACAATTTTTCTCTATCTCTGCCCTACTCAAATACCAAAGTTTAATCCCCAAAACCAAGAGTCCCAAGATGAAGATATCAATTGAATAACAATTGATGTAATAAGGAAAGAAATAGTTATGCATT